ACACATTATCTTAACGTGTGGTTATGGTAGTATGGGGACAAATTCACATGTTAAGGACTGAGGCATATCTTCATAATTCTTAAGATATTTGTATTGTTTGTAGAGCCGGACGTGTTATGGTTAAAAGCCCTTATTATGACTGTAGGGAACACAATTTTTACATAGTTAATAAATGGGAAGACTATTTTGAACCCTAAGTTATCACAAGATATGAGGACTTCCCGCTAAGTTCGACAATTGTAATCTGATCATATCTTGCTCCCCTCTTATGTACACTTAAACACTATTATTAGATTAACACAAATACGGTATACCATCATCCTCGAGCTCTACAATGCAAAATATTTTCAGATTGATATCCTTATCTCGAAGACAATAGCCACACGTTTTAACCATCATATATCTGAAATGATGTTAATTAATACATACTAACCTGTATTGTAAGAGCAAGTTGTTCCATTAAATATCTTTAATAAAGATATGTTGCAATTCACTTTAGATTATGTATACTCTAAAATATGAGTTAGTAATCCTTATGCTAAGATAACGATTGTGTAATTTCAGATACGTTTGGATTTGAAATAATCATATCTTGGTCAAAATAAAGTGAATTGCTCCCTTTATAACCGTACCGTTATAGTGTCGTACACTATATATAATATGTTTAACTTGGGCTGAAGATAAGTTGTACATTAAATATTGTGTAATTTGCTAAACGGTACGGTAAGGATTACAATATGAGTGCTCTACTGAAATCACCTATATTACTTTTGAACACTTACAAATGGCTTAAATCATCCAGATATGACACTCAAAAGTGGATATTTAAATGCTCGGGATGGTAGAGAAAACGGTATTTAAAGAGTCCGGGAGTTCAGAAGTATTTCGTCCATATTTCAAACCGTGGTATCATTGCTATAAGATCTGTCTCTTATAACTGTATACAAATTTATATTAGTGTGAACAGATCACTGCTCAATACGGTATGAGCAGTGATAACCTAATGTTATAAGACAATTTAATGACCTAAATTAATATACGAGATATTACCCGAAATAGGACTAAAAAGGTTTGAAAATTCTAAAATAGGACTGTCATGTTTTTATTCCAAAAATAGGACTAATTACTGTCATGTTTTGGCAGTACCAGATTTCAAACATGGCAGTATTTTCCAAACTTGACAGTAATTACTCCTATTTTGGGAATAAAAACATGGCAGTCCTATTTTGGAATTTTCAAACTGTTTTAGTCCTATTTCGGGAACTTTCCCTTAATATACTGATTTAAAAGTATATGAACAATCATACTAAGTACTTTAACATATATCTATACATCATATCGAAATGTATAGATATGATATTAGTGGAGAAATAGTCAAGGATGTTGGTAAAGATCACTTTGAAATTGATATAAGTTATAACGTTTGGGTATATATCATAGGATATCTTAGATTTCCTAATATAGATATTTTACATCAAAGTATTTACGTTTAAATACTTTGAAGTAAAAGGTAATCATGTTACTTGTTGAGTGTATTAACAAGCTCACTCTAAACGTGGAAAGCATTGCTATTTCATACAAACTTATCTTCAGGCGCCGTTTTAAGATGCTGTATGCTATTACAGACTATGAATGACTATTGATTCAATGGACAAAATATGGTGTTCTTCAATGGGATAAGATAGTTCGTTATGACCATGCTTGATAGAGATAGAAACCGTGCTCAAAAATACGTTTTTGATATATCATAATGTGAACTCAAAGTGGTTAAACTTAATTCATCCCGAGCATTGTGCTCGGGATGAATTTATCTTCGGGCGATAGGAACTTTTTACTAAATGTATAAGGGATGATCGTCCGACAATCATATAGTAAAATTTAGGCGATTTAAGAGATAAAGCCTTACGTATTGAGTGCCGTTCATCAACGTGTTATATTGACAAATTTGATTAGGGTAAATATGGTGTCTCATAACATATTATCGAGAATACGTACGTTAAAGATTACACATATATGCCTAAACTATATTTATATCATCGTGGGTAATTACGCATTTATGATGTCCATTATAGTTTATTTTCCTTTTGAACAATCTTACACGATGGGCTCTTGCCGGGAAAATTATTCGACTCCCCCATTAGATAGCCATTATGTTTGTCACACTTTAATCGTAGAGTAGATCTATCCATATGAGCGAATTCCCATAAACTATTATTTAACACCATCGATATTGCTCGTTCAACAGTATTTACGCTCTGATCGGTTTTAACATACAACCCTAAATCATTATACTCACTCCCTTTTATGGTATTACAGAGGATAGATCTAATCCTCTGTAATATCATATTGGCAATTCCTAATAGTCAGTATTATTTCTAGCAGTGAGAATAGTATAGGAATATCACGTTTTATCGATCGTACTAATATTAGTCCGTCTAAATAGGGTGTTTTACCAAAATACGGGAATTCTTAACATCCGCGTCTAAATAGGGTGTTTTACCAAAATACGGGAATTCTTAACATCCGTTGCCAAATTACGGGAAAAATTTAGGGTTTTCAAAAAAAGCAAAGGTCGGAATTGGCTCTTCCGACCAGAGATAAGGTTTTGAAAAATAGGGTGTGCTTAGTGTCGGATTTGGCTCTTCCGACTAGGGGTTTATTTATTTTATTTTTCCATCCGAATTGCTTTGAATGATGAAGTGCTTTAAATTGAAAAATTCCGAATTGGCATGTCGTTTGGATGGTTTTTTTTATTAAATAAAGTTAGTTTTTTTAAATTGAAGTAATACGTATCGTGCAATTTTTAAAATGAAAAATATACATTTTGATTTTTTGAATAACAAAACATTGATTACTTTATACTACCTCTGTAACAAAAAAATCTCCCCACTTTCCTTTTTCGTCCGTAAGAAAAAAATCTTCTCATTTCTAAATCTTCCCACCATACCCTCAATAATTCTAAAAATAATACACTATTACAACTACTTTTTTTGGATTTCTCCTACATTCCATCACATTATTCCATTATCTTCCCGTCATACCCTCAATAATTCATATCCTCTTTCATTATTCTTAATCCACCTACTCTTGAAATGAGAAGGTTTCTAAGTTATGAAGGGAGTATATTTTTTAATTCATTCGTATTGCTAATTAAATTCAAAAAATGAAGTACAAATTTCATTTGTTTAATGGAAGTGAACAAAACAAATGTAGTTTTTAATTTAATTTATTAATAAATAGATATTGCTTGCTCGGCCCTGGCATGTCACCTCCGCCAGTGTTCCAAAACCTCGGTGTGGCCATATTAAACTGCACAAATTAATAGAATAATTTGTTTATTTTTATATATGAAACATTGATTTCGTATGAAAGATAAAAATAAATTATGAATTTGGTATATTTTTTGTAATAATCAGAATACAATCACAAAAGATATAACGCTTTAAAAAGAAGATAATTTTTAAAGTCTTAAATTTTTTTTTTTTTATTTTTATATATTCAATATTGGTGTCATATGAAAGATAATAAAAAGTTATAAATTTTCGTATATGTTTTGTAACAATCAGAGTACAAATAAAAAAATTATAGTAACTTTTCCATATTTTGGCGACAGGGTGGAAAATTAGCGACTACCGTGTTTTCATACCCTAATTAACTTTTCCATATTTTGGCAGACCCAAAAATCCCGCATTTTGGTAATTTCCTCGTCTAAATACTTATCTTCAATCGGAAATATTTGTAAAGCTTTAATAGCTTTAAAGCGTATTAGAATGGAGCTCGTTAATCATTAGAGATTCTTATGTTATTGATCGAGTTACTATATCTTAGACTGATAAGTTACACTAATATAACTGGCAAAAATGATGTTTTACACCGTTTCTTAAGTACCGTTTTACACCAATTATTTTAGGAATGAAACAAGATGGTTATGCCTTAATGTCTACCGTTTAATCGTTTTAATGGACTAAGTATCCGAATTTAAACTATTTAGTAAGCTTATCTTGCTAAATGATATCTAATCATAAACCCGATCATTTATCAGGAACTAAAGGGAACTTCATGCACAAATAATCTGCTCAACAGATTATTTATGCTAAAAATTATAAGTTTGTTCCCATATTCGGATTTACACAAGTACTTCGATATTATATACCTATTAATATAATTCTTCAATACTCGGGACTGATAATCCAATTGTCAACTTACAATTGGATTAATCTAAAGTGCACATCGTAAACCATCTTGAACAACCACCTTGAGATCACCTTTGGGACGCATGTGTACACAAAACTTAAATATTATCGCATTGGTGAAAGGCACTCATTACCTTACGGATAATACTAAGGTTAAACAATTTCATATAATAGGTTTCTACTTTTTTTGAGCTAACGAGAAATATTTATTAACCATAAATATTTGTGAATTTATGGTTAATCTTTACCGTTTACTTAATGCATTGTTATTGAAGTTGGAACAAAAGCAGAAATATTGCCTTTTATATGTAGGGGATTGTAAATTATAAAGATCATAAAACTCCAAACGGTATTGCTCTATACGACAACTAGCGGGGATCCACGCTTCGCGCGGTTGTTATGCCCAATGGGAGGTATAGAATTACGGCATGAAAGGAATGCAAAATCAATATGTGAATGGGATAATTGAAATAAGGAAGAAACAGAAAAGTAATTAGTGTTTCAGATTGATAATGTCATAAAAGTAAGTAGTTGTGAAGAAGCAATTGAAGAAATCTTTAACCCAAGAGTAAATATTTAACTTAAAAGATTTTCTTATATTTTGTAACTATTTGAAGAATAGAGATGAAACAGAATATCACAGCAGTAAAGTGAGCATTTACGTGTAATGCTGGAAAATAGGATAACAATTGAGTAGAAAGAGTAATGACAGTGTTTGTCATAATTGCAAAAGTAAAATGCAGAGTGTTGCAGCGAAACACAGTAAGCAAACCAGTACTTTTACATTGGTAACCCAACAAAAAACGACGGGTGATTCCCATAAAGATAGCAGTTTAGGGTAATTGTTTTAGCTGCGATAGCGGGAATAAAACAAGTTAACCTAAAGAACATAACATAAATCAAATGATAATAAGAGAGCAGCTAAGCTTCAGTTGTAGTATGGGTGCAAACTTGGCTGTTGAGCTCATATGTATGGCTTTGATGTGGAGGCTCTTCAACGTTGCATTTGGAAAGAGCAAGCAATCTAAGTTTCCCACTGCCGGACTTAAAAAAAACAAGGCTATAAGTTGGGTCAAGGTGGAAATTGAATTGTATTTCTTGTAACAGATCCATCTCACCGCCATAGAAAGGGTCTTGCATTTCACCATGCATAATTAGTATTTGACCCCTGGTATCGCAGCAGTTCTTAAGGAATGTCTCACAGGCTGACTGCAGGCACAAAATAAATCAGGGTTGTTTTAGTTAAAAGAATTGAAATTAGTAAGCGTTGAATTAGATTTTGTACCGTTGTTGTTTTTGTGGGGATGTAAAGAAATGAAGGGGGCCTAAACAGTTTCCTATATGAGCAGTTTGAAATTGCAGACTGTGCATACACAAAGAACTGATCTGCAGAGAAAAAAAAACACACAAAAAAAAAGACATTCACAAAGGGTTAGTGTGAAGTGGGAAGTAAATGGTAAGGTGTTATGAATAAACAAGAAATATACCTCCAGAAAGGTTGGGATTAAGGTTGGCATTTGGCGGTTCACCCAGGTTGCGAGAGTGGCCGTCAGTGTCAAATAGGAGCACATCAAATATGAAATTCCCAATGTGGCGCAGCAGTACAAAGCCATCAAATGGGATGTCATTTTCTACCAGGAAGTTGGTAAATTCATGGTCAAAAGTGTAACCTCGAACAGCCACTGGCCAAGCAGTATTGCCATACCTTAGTATGGCCTCTGATTTTGTGTGCTCGAACAAATGACGGTGCATGCAAGGTGGTATTTTCTAAAAGAGAAGGGTTAAAAGAAATTGGTTTCAGTAGATTAAACAACATAATGGAATAAAATACAAAGAATCCAAGTGGTGTAAGAATCTGACCACTCTTTCAAAATGTTCCATGTCCAGCATGCACCAGACCAGGGAACTGCCAAAAACGTCCAGAGAATGGATTGTGGTGCTATTTGGGCACGCTGTATAGGATGAGGAATAAATATGGGTGAGGATAAAAATAGAAGAGCACCATAATGACAAACTAAAGTAACAGTGTTGTTATTCATATTAATCAAAAGAAAGGAACGGGGAATCACCTGTGAGTAGGGGCATTGTAAGCCTGCGTGCAAACAAATGATTAATCTTGTGTTCCATATCATCTTTACTCCTGAAGCGCATAGGCAGTAGTCTGTCAAATCCAGAGGCAGTCAAGAAGTGCTGCCAATCTGTGCTTGTTTGACAGGTGTATTGGCGGTTGGATCTTTCAGTGAGGATGGCCACAGCTATTTTCCTTCCATGAACAGTATGGAGGAAATACGTAACAGTGTTAACACCGCCATTAACAATGGTGTTTTCCACAGTATAGGTGCTGAATAGATCCATGTGACTAAGAAAGTGAAACAAATGAGTATAATTTGTTAAACATGAGGGGGGATGGGTACCACAATGAATAACAAATGATGAAATGGTTGTAGGTATATATGTGTGTTGTTCAAGAAATATAGTGTCTAACAGAGTATGTATGTATGCATATTAAATTAAATATCGTAAAAAAAGGTAGGGAAAAAAAATTTATTTTTTTAAGAAAATGGAAGTACTTAGAATTTCAATATTAATACAGTAGGCTGTATATCAAGGTTATGAAGTTCAGGAAAATTTTTCTTTTGTTTGAACTCAGTTGGGTTATTCACAATGAGGATGATCATATTTACATAGACTTGAAGGGAGGGAGACATATAGCATGAAATTATAGTTACAAATAGACGTTAAAGTCAAGTTTATTTACTGTCAGAATCAACCAGCAAGGTGGCTGTAAAAGTTGGAAAAATAGAGCAGAGCAATGTTATTTCAATATTACTCTCTATGATTTGATAGAATAATCTGGTCTAAGGGAAATTTAATCTTCTTTATTCCCCTGGAAATAGTAAAAAGACCATAAGTTTAAAAAGCATTATAAAAATGTGAAAAATTTAGTGTTAAGATAAAGCAATAAAAATTTAAAACAAATAAAGCATATTATGGAATTTGGTAACCAATGTTCTAGTAAATATTGGTTCAGATAAAATTTTTCAGAATCGGGAATATGAAGGTTGAACAATTCTAAATGAAGGATGTGCACATAACAATTAAACCAATGGTCCTAAAAGTAATTCCCATTTATAACAACACACAACATCATATTCTAAAAAAATCAAGTGAGTTGTGTGCACAACATGAGAGTAATAAAGCAGTTGCATAAGAAGTTTGTGTGTTCTGGATTTAAACCATTTTTACATAAGTAAATCCTCTTGACAGAAGACAAACAGGCACCACACACAGAACAGAATGTTTATATTTACACAAGTAACAAACAGTAACTCAACGAAGATATTACAGTAAGGTAAATTAACTTCCATGCCTCTGTTGTACAGATTGTAAAACACCACAGTGCAGAATTGAAAAACAAAACCCAATAACAGTATACAAAAAAGAAGTAAAAATAAAAAACACAAACTGAAAGAGAACACCAAACAGGCTCACAGGGGTGTGACATTGCGTAGCTATGATGTGTATAAAAAAATAATAAATAAAACCCCAAATGCAAAGGAGGCAATTGGATGAATGTATTGAAGGGTTGTGGACACATGCAATGAAAAAAATATAGGAAGATGAATACCAAAAGTTGGAACATAAAAGAAAGTGAGTAGGGGCAGAATAAACATTAAACGCTTGCATATAACATTCATGGTTTCTCTGCAAGCAATGCAAATTTTTTTATAACGAAATAAAATGAAAAGATGGAATACCAGAGGATAGGTGTTCATGGCAGAGAGTGGTAAGGTGGGAGGAAGAAATTACCTCGGTGAAGATTTCAGGCAAGAGTGCGCCGCACTGGGTGGGAGTAATTGCGTGAGTAGTCGATAGGTGAAGTGAAGGGAAGGAAGGGCCGCGGATGAAGCTGCGGTTTGTATCGCTTTGGGATGACAAGGGGCGGCAATTTGGCGTTTATTGGCTGCGCATGCAACTGGTTAATTATGATCGAATTAAATGTGGTTTTTTCAAAGAATAAAAGATAGGGCTGTAGTTCAAATTTTTTTTAGAAAAAAACACCCAAACAACCAACTGACAAAGAATTAATGACGGGCCTGGGGTTACAAGGCTGGGCGGTTTAAGAGCCCAATTGGTCTATTACAAAGGGAAAATATTTTATTATGTTAAGTATCAATAAGTAAAGACAAAGAATAATTAAACAATGCGTGGTATTCTGTTTAGTACTTTTTTATATTTCTGTATGAATATGGTATGAATTATGAAATATTTTAATTGCTAAAAGTAAGATTATATGGTTGATTGATTAGTTAGGCATATTAAAAAAGGAAAAAATGGACTTTTTTTATTTTACTTATTATTGTGTTACCTTGAAAATTATTTGTAATTATTATGAACGTTCAGATTGATTTATTCAGAATTTTAAAATTTTTGTCCCTAGTATTTATCATCTAATTTGGTATGAAATACATGTTTTTAGGTTCAAACAATGTGTCAGGGGTTTATCGTTTACTTATTATATTTTGACACATTGAAAGCGTTTTAATACTGTTTTTTATATGTGAAGTAAAATTTTTGGGTTTGGTTTGGTTTAAAGTAAAATGAATTGGTAGATAATTGTTTTACATTATCATGTGTCCTATTATTATTTAATTTTGAATTAAATGCAGGTAGGTTCAAAATGAAATAAATCTAATGACAAATGCTCCAAGGCTATAAACAATAAGTATTAACATATCTTCAAATAAGAAGTTTGAAAGTGTAATTATGGTTTTGACATTGAGTTTAGAAAAATAAAGCATAACTACTTCAGCAAACAGGTAAACTTTAATAATGTTTTTTTCAAATAAGTAATTTTGATTACAGACTAAATAGGGTGGTGTGGTAAAGTTTGCGAATAGAAAATGGATTGGGAAGTAAATTTTTTCCATTTACATTTCAGAAAGGCTTGTGTGTTAACAGACATGATCAGAACAAAGAATAAGAATGTAAATAAAGGTCGCGTTTGCAAAAGAGGTTGCATGATGACCCGTCAGAGCTGAAACTACAGATACAGATTTAGGCTTAACAGATGTTGTTTGGTTGAACTATTTGCAGACCTAATTCTAAATAAAGGTCGCCAATAAGAATACATGAATAAACAGTAACAAAAAGAGCATTTCATTCTTGACTTACTAATGATAAGTATAAAAGCATATATGAGAAAAACCAATACCTGCAAATTTGAATCAGGTATATCCATTACCTGAAAAGCAACGTATGGCTCGGTGGTTATCGAAGGAATAACGAAATAAAATTGGGTAAAATAGATTGAAATTTTAAATTATATTGTAGTTAGGGTCTGTACAATCAATGAAGAACATATATAACTCTCAGATATAAAAGAGAAGGAGAAAAGTACATAAACAACATACCTTAATATATGGATAAAGGCTTACGTACATTGAATTAAGTTTATCAGGAACTTGTAAGTGAAGGTCTTGTGTAATAACAACAAGTCAACATGTTACCTAAAGGAAAAAAAAACACCCAAATTCTAAGGAAATGTTGCCATTTAAAATCTCATGGAAGAGATTGAATCTAATTAGATAGACAAACTAATCCACAAATCAACAACACATCACTATGCATAAACAATTATGCTACTCTCAGTAATAAGCAGTGAATATCAATTCAAAACGCATAATTGCACAATAGTCACTGCTACACAGATGCAAAATTGAGAATAATTGCACAATAGTTATTGGTACTCAGATGCAAATGGTGAGAACAAGAGAAATGAAATGAAATAGAAAAAGATATATGCAAATAAGTACAAAATTATCATGTGAAACAGGGTTTAAACTTTTAAATGGGTAATAAACATGCCCAGAACACAGAATAAAGACGAAAAGAAAGGCTACAAACAAGAAAATATGAGTAAACAGTAATAAAAAGAACACATCATTTTTTGAGTAGCTAATGGTAAGCATAAAAGCATATATTATAAAAAAAACCTACCTGCAAATTTGAATCAGGCATATTTATTACCTGAAAGTAATAATATATGTCATGGCAAAACATGGAAAAACGAAACTAAAATTGATTGTGTGCACATTGAGATATTTTATATACTATAATACTGTACTCACCTTGGTGGGTTTTATAATACACAGGTGGTATAGCAAGAGGGCCACGAAATGATTTGAAATATAATAGCAGATGCTAACTACAGCAGTATAATTAGCAATCATTAGGGGAAAATTTGATACTTACAGGTTTGCCGTATAGAATGTAGGACATAGTTACATGCTTGCTTGCTGTTGAGTTTAAATGTCAGATTTACATAAACAAGTATTATCCATTAAAACATTGATTTATAAAGCCCCTGATTTGGTAATTGTGAAACTAAAAATTATCAGTCGATTTTAAGGGTCCACCGGTTAGAGGATAATAAATCAATACATTAACAATAGCATCATGTAAGCTGTGAAGTGTTGCAACAGTCCCAAGAGGAATATCACTTCATTGCTAAACAGCCAACACGATACAGGATCTAGATCTTGACACGTTTGCAATCTGTAAAAAGATAGGGAAAGAAAATATGGAGAGAAAAAAATAGTAAATCTGTAGCAAAAGAAAATTTGGGAGCAAACACTTGATTCAGATTCAATAGATCTATCTTATGTATTTTTTCCAAACTAAAAGTGTTCATGTATTTAATAAACTACCATAACAATTCTAGAATGATATGAAAACAGGAAGATCTATTTTACTTAGTGTTTTTAAGGAAGCAAATAAACATTACCACACGTCACGAATGTCTTCGGCATGACTTGTATATGATAGTGAAAGGAAATAAATTTTGTTCTGTACCCCTTTAAGCTTATGGCCTTAAACAGAAGTGACATACATGTGAACAAGTCAAAATTCCATCTGCAAAATTATTTCCATTGATAAAAGTATATACTACGTAAAAGTTTTTACGTGTTTCAAAAAAAGAAATCTATGACGGTGATTTTTTGCTAGGATACGGAGAAAAAATAGTCAATTTTTTATTCTGTACAGCAATAACCAAATAAACATCCTCAATTCCTCATGAAAATGTAAATGTATTTAAATATTTAATAATATAACACCTTCTAAGATATAAAAAGGGAAACAGTTTATATGCATTTGTAGCTGTTGGTTTTTTTTTTAGCATATAAATTGAAAAAAGTTGGAAGGACAACATACAGCTGATAATCCAACCTGTGATGAAAAACGAGCCTCCATACATATAGTTGGTCATCCACATATACAGGTAATCATTCAAATTAGAATCTGTGTACCAATCCTATATGCTGAAGACTGAACAATGTATCAAAAAATAATTAATGCCTGTGTGTGTTTTATCCGTAGATCATCCAAACACACATAAGAATGAACTTCCTGATTTAGGTATTTAACCTGTTGGATTTCATCCATATAGAGCACAGCGTTTTAGACAGATTTATAAGTTAGGCATCACCAGGTAACTGTAATGATATGAGGACGGGTATGCTTGTATAGGGAAATCTATTTTAGCACCAAAATACAGGAAACCTAATAAAATTCAGAAAATTATAGATAAAGAAAGGAATAGGGTAGATCAGACTGGTGTGGTGAAGTATTTTTTTTATATCTCAATAATGCATAGATAAACACTCTTTTCCAAAAACCAAATGTGGTGAGGAAAGGAATGTGAAATTAACCTTCTAGAATGAAACTGTGATCTAATTACCTTCTTTTCATGATCCAATCGCGTGACCTAATTTTACTAAAAAAAAACTGTTTCCCAAATACAAAAGCAAGTACAACCAGTGGTTCTGTGAAATGAGAAAGGATAGTTTGTCCAATACAAAAAGTAGGAAAATGCAAGCATGTGTGAATGGGTAAAAAAAACAATAGATCAAACAGCAGTAAGTGAAGCGTACAAGGAGTTGTGAAGTACAAGAGAAGGAAGATTTTAGTTGCAGGGAATTTTTTTTTTGGAGTTTTGTATTAATAACAACAATATGGGAGAAGATTCAATGAAACACATTATATGTTACCATAACATGTGTGGGTTAAAGAGGTAGAAGGGAAAAGATTGTAAAATAAGATAATGTACACCAGAATATATTAAGCATGCAAAATAGGTGTGGATGCCCCAGTTTGCCCAAAAGCAGATATGTACAGGCATGAACTGGTAGTAAGCAAGGGCGACCAACAACGTTCAGTTGCTACTAATTATACAAACCATGAGTTTGAGCAAAAAAGATGAGCCGAGTAAAGTTTGAAGTGCTACTCGTGCTCTAATTTACAAATATATACATAGCTTCTCAAGAACGTTCTTGTCACAGCAAAACACAACAATTTTTTGGGGTTTAAAGGGTGATGGTCTTTGGTTTTTTACCACGCAGCTTTCCTAGTTGTTCCTCCGTTTCAGATTCGCTGTGTACTGAAAGGTTAGAAGTAGTAGGAGAATCAGGAGGCAGGTCACTGCCTGATTTGAAATTCAATGTTCGTTTGGCTCGAGAGGAGGTTTCACACGTTGTGAGTGGCGGTGGTTGGGTAACAGGAGGTGAGACGGTTGGGGTGGTTAATTTTTGTGAAACTAAAATAACAGTGTAAGAGTTAACTTGAGTTCCTTCCTCATTAGGCTTTGAATGTTTGATGCCGGCTACAATGTCAAGGGTTTGCAACTTTGTATTAAAGGCTTCCAGGTCTATGTCTGTGTCAGGATCAATGCAAGTATACTTCAAGAGAGTCAGGATATCAGTGGTGAAAAGAGTGACAGGAATGGAAGTGGTACCATCATGGAGGTCAGCATCAAGCCTGAATCTGTGTATATTCTGAAGCATTAGCAGTAGAAAGCAAAAGAGATGAATTCTATGTGGCTGGGGGGGCTTACCGCTTCACTGTTGTGCCTTGTTTTTGACCACAGAACAAACACTGAAAAGTTATGCCCTCAGTACCATAGACCCTGCGGTTGCAATAGTTACAACCTATGTAGAAGCACTCTTGGGTGGTATCAGGCAAGCTAAACTTCCCTGACACCCACACAACTGTAACCTGGACGGCCAAGACAAAAAGAAATGCACAGTTAAAACGAGTGTCTTAGAAGGGCAGTAGGGAAAAACATTATGATGGGTGTTAAGTCGTGTGTATATGTACGGTGCCTACCTGAAGCAAATTGTTTTCTAAGCCTGAAAGGGTGCATTGGGGTTGCGACAAAGGGTGTGCTATGATTGAAAGTGCATCATTGTACACCTTATCCTGCACCATCAAACTAATTTTTCCTGCATTTGCAGAGATCCTGACACAATAGGACGCCAAACATGAACATTGATGGAATTTATCTGGTTTGCATTATATTTATAAAGGATAATGTGTGAAAAAAGGCACACACACCATTTTTTTAGTGATAGAGCACGAACCCCAGTAGGGTTCAATTCCACGTGGCAGTCATACCTAGTTGATAATGATAGAGCTACAAAATAACGAACAAATTTGGTCAAATGCTCACAGTGTGTATGCATGAATTGAAGATAGGGAGGATAGAACCTTGGAATAGGTTTATGGCAACCCTGTTGATGAGGACAAGAGGGTGACCACCTGCATGCAGAATCTTTTCAATTTCAGCACCATGTTTGCCAACAAATTCCTCCCACATAGTAAATGGGATGGGTATGCACCTGTGTAAGAATGTTTAAAAAAATGGTGAGTGTTGTTGGGTGCGTAATAACATAAGTAGTAATATGGGATCGAATAAACGTAGTGCATACTCTTCGTTGACAAGAACAACATCCCAAGCAACGCGTTGTCTACCACCAGTAACTATGAAGGTACGCGGTAATTTTTTAACAATAGCGCCTAAAATATCTGTAATACATGGTAGAAAATAAAGTTATTGTCAAGATAAAAGAAGTATATGTAAGCACATAAACACAAGAATTACTTACTCATACGTGCGTCATGCTGATAAGCGTTGAATATAGTGTGGAATGGTGCAGTTTCTGATTCAGCAAGTTCACGAAAATCAACTCCTTCTGCTGGATCCACATCTTGTATCAGGGTTCGCCGGTTGAATGACCACACATATGGATAGTTGACATCAACGCAGTAGCGCATTTCAGTTATTCGTTTTACGTAAGCATTTGAGATGAGGTATGTGGAGTACAGGGATAGGCGTTGATCTATTCCTTCTATATCACCCTGGAATGCAGTGGCCTGGACTCTGGTCCCCTGTAAAAAAAATATGAAAAGATTAGTAGTGAGTGGCTAATAAGGAGTAGAAAATGGTGTGGACACGTTAGCAAAAGGGTATTTACAGCAGAATCCTGCAGAATCATTGGCATGAATTTTATTGGAGATGTCTTTCCTGTGCGCACATTTTGCTTTTCAATCAATGTTAGGCGACATGTCCATTGGTGGCTGTCTGGTTTCTCTGCGGTTATGAGGCCTTCAATTGACATTTGGTATAAACTCCTGTAGTGTTTGTAATGAAATAAATGATTATAATGACAGTAAGTGGGGAGGTGTAAATAACGGCAAAATTGTAAAGCAAATATGTTAGGATAGGGGAGGGTGAGAGACAAAAATGAACCTGATAATAAATACGAGGCTAATTAATATAAGATAAGATTTCATCATAAACAACGTTGGGCGTTGTATTACGCAGTGCTGGTTGGGGATCGTCAGGGCAGATCACAATCTTTATGGATTCGGCATTCCGAGCTCTAGACATAGCAACATATAGTTGGCCATGAGAGAAAACTGGTTCTTTCAAATAGATGCCAACAAAATCAAGTGTCTGTCCTTGTGATTTGTTTATGGTCATTGCAAAGCAAGCTTTAATGGGAAATTGGATGCGTCGAAATGTGATTGGGCAGTTTTCGTCCTTTGACACTTCAAGGGGAATTTTGGGGATAAACACATGTTTACCTTTGTGATCACCAGAAGCAATGAAACAACTTAGTATGTGATCTCCAAATGAATCACAGATTAATCTTGTTCCATTGCATAGACCCTCACATGGGTTCAGATTTCGCAGCAACATTATAGGGCAATTACGTTTTAAATGCAACTTATGCGGTGGTAGGCCAGAAGGTGATAGTGTGTGGAGGTAATCTGCACAGTGCATGTTTTTGGAATCTATAGGAATATCATGACTGAGATAGGTATGATCTTCCCCTGGGAATTTCCCCATCAAAGATGTATTGATAAAGTCCACAATGTTATTTTTCGTTGTAAGTATAGCGCGACTCATTAAAGAATAAGGATCTGTTTCAAATATTTGCAAATTTGGGTAAACTGCAGTGAAAAGCATGTCAAGAGAAGCAGTTTCAGTGGTCCAGGGAAGTAGAAAATTGGATGGAATTTTAATCCGGTTTGATGTAACAGTGTGTTCTCTGCCGTTGCCAATACGCATTAAATAGTTGCTGAACTCAGGATCTTCATGGGCGCGCATATTTACAACAAGTTGAAGTCTACAAACATGTGGCCATATTGTTTGTGATCTAAGTAGACACGCATCTATAAAATCATGCCTGGTTCCGGCTCGAACAACGGGTAATGTTTGACGAAAATCACCACCGAATACCATAACACTACCTCCAAAAATAGCATCTACACCCAGAATGTCTCTCAATGTTGTATCTAGGCTTTCAACAACCTTGCGATTAGCCATAGATGCTTCATCCCATAAAATGAGTCTTGCTTCCCTAAGTAACCTAGCCTCTGATGTCTGTTTGCCAATGTTGCAGGTGTATTTGGCTTCCCCGTCAAGAGGTAGCTTGAATCGTGAGTGTGCAGTTCGGCCACCAGGCAATATTGATGCAGCAATACCCGAACTGGCAGTTGCCAGAGCGATCCATTTGTTTATTCTGGTGGCAGCCAACAGACATCTATATAAGAAACTTTTCCCGGTTCCACCAGGTCCATCAATAAAAAACACAGCACCTTGATGTGAACGAACGGCAGTCATTATAGTATCAAAAGCTGAGCGTTGCAGATCATTTAATGATGATATGCCATTGATATCTACATCACTTACAATGATGTTTTGTTCTGCCAGAATTTCACGGGTGTTTCCATCATTGTTACACATGCTGAAATCAATATCTGTCAGTTTAAAAGAGTCGATGTCCCTACCCATTTCAGCAAACATGCTGCGTAACAGGTTCAGTGCAGTCATTTCAGCTTCTATGGGATTTTGAATCCTGGAAAAGTCTTCGCACAAAGTGGTTTTGTATTCTTCCCATAATGCACGTGGGTTAGGCACATCTGAGTAGCACAAATGGGTGGCAAACAATTTGCGCAGGCTAGTTGGAAGTTGGAACAATGCAGCCTCATCAAGTGACGCTCGTATAACGAAGTCACCTGATAGTAAGCCCAGACGTTCAGCTGCAATTCTGAATGTGGGAACTTCGGTCCCGTCAATAGTTTTCAAATTTGTAAAAGAAGTAGGTGAGCGGACGTTGGCTAGTAATAGACGAAGATAATAACGCTCACCTTCAATGGGGTTAACAGAAACAAGCCTGCCAAGGACTTCCCGTCTCTGTCGTTGTGTCCACTTTCTTTGTTGTTTAGACCACACAAAATAATGGGGAAATTCAATGTAAAGCAGATTCAATGCTTTTGCAACTTCATCAGAATGATTCATGGCAAAGAATTGTGTTAGCATTGTGCGCAATGAATCAGCAGATTGAGTGATGTAGGTGATACGCTGGTTCCCATAGAATGTTAGGTATTGGGAGTTTTCCAAATGAACCTGCAACTGTAGAACAGCAGGCTTCATTTCTGAAATTGGGAACCCAAATATCCGCCACGCAGCTTCAGGGGCAGATACCCAGCGTGCTTTTTGGAAGTCACTGATTTCGTCAATGACCCCATTGTCGCTTACATCTGATAACGACATACTAATTCGATCATGACCCTTATACACATATTTATATATGTATTTGACTGAACGTACACTTGCACAAGCTTCGACATTCATGTGACAGTCATATTTACGCAACAAGTGAGAGTTATAAGGTACGACCCAACGATTGTCTAGGCAATGCTTCCTCACTTGCACTGTTACACCCGACTCACGTCTCATGTAGGTGGGGAAAGAGTTTTCATCAAACACTGTAACAGGAGTAAAAATGCGAGGATATTTGCTTCTGCATGAAGGTGAGATAGCATCATGGGATACTACCATGCAAGGGCATTCCAAATTCATGGAACCGCATGGGCCATGTATCATATGCTTCTTCACAAGTTCATATAATACCGGATCATCATGCGGGTTAGGGAGTTCAGCGGTGATCAGTTTATCACACTGAGCCGGTGTGGAAATCTTAAAATCCCGGCCTAAAATAAGCAGGAAATGAGCGTGAGGCAGGCCCCTCTTTTGGAATTCTATTACATACGTGTATGCAACAACCTTGCCAAAGAATGCCTTTGTCAATATATCCTTTTTAAAGTCTTCCAGACGGGCGCGAAATACACGGGCTACAAGGTCTGGCCGGTTTTGGGTTTCATCAACAAAAGAAAGACGTTCTTTGATCTCGGGCCAATTTGGGTTACAGGTTATTGTAACGAATAAGTCTGGTTTGCCGTAATGCTGAACAAGTGTCATTGCATCCATGTAACGCCCACGCATATCACGTGGCCCACCTATGAATGAACCTGGCAACATGACACGCTTCCCAACATCACTGGTGTTATCCAAACCAGTGCCAACACTGTCAACTAATCCTTGATATGTATCAGATCGACACTCACGTTGCTTGCTACGGTAGTAATCCAGCCTCTGTGTTTCAATTTTAATGTAAAGGTCAACAATATACTGTTGGAATAAACGCCCAGAATGTAGGATGAATGACGTGGTTTCATGGCGCATTTGTAACTTGTATGCATAATACTGGCGGCATGACACTGACGTATTATTACCGCTTGCAGTGTGTATCTGTTCTTCATTTGCAATGATGGTATCCTCTGAATCAAGCACATTGGTTGCTATAGTGAATGAGGCGACATGCTGGGAACCAAGGTTGGTCAATCCAGGATGACCTTTAGGGATTCCTGCGTGCCATCCCACTTCACCAAGGGGGAAAAGCAGAGGGTATTGCAATGGGTCATAACACCCATAATAATAGTGGATGTTTTGAGATCGGCCACTATGTGAGTATACACGAATGCTTCTGTTTAAAGTGATGTTTTCATCTCCATCTTCAACCCATACAGCAGCAACCTGAGATGTAGTGGGGTGGTTATAAACACGCTGATCCAGGCTGGGATTCCCATTTAAGATTATAGAAAATTCAGTACTTTGATCAACCTCGGTCAAAGTTTTAAAAAATTGCGCATATGGGTTATCCGCCAGCACTGCCATCAACCGTGCAACCACATCTTTGTCCAAACGTTCCGTAGAGGATAATCTATTGTCAAGTGCTTGTTCTGTGTCATAGAAATAAAGTTGCAGATTCCGGGGTGGGCAACCAGTAGGTAATAAGTCATCTATGAAATGGTATATTTGGCCCTGAACTCTGAACGTATATATGCCTTGGTTGCGTCTGCATAGATTCTTGTCGAATTTGTAGATTCCTATAGAAGTGAACGCAAATGTGTTGTTATATGTGCGTACACATGAGCGAAAATGTTTAGACATCTGATCACGTGAAGTGTACAAAGATTTTAGCTGTGCTGGCATTTCAGTTGAAGCAAGGACAACCACCCCCTTACTACAGCACATGCCTGGGGGTTCATACTGAATTCGTTCAGCACCGCAAAGCATGCAATCCACAACAGGTTTAAGTTGATATGTGGCAGTGTGGACGTTAGACGGATGTCTTGGATCGTTAGAGGCAAGTATGGGGGCATTAGTAGCTATTTTGGAGTATATTTTTTAATATAAATTGGAGACGATGGGTTTGGGTGTGATTTTGTATGATAGAATGGGATATTTTGATTTCCAGTAATAGAGTATATAATGGCATGAATACATTAGCACATATGTGTGGGCATAACAAAGCGGCAAAGAAGATAAGGGATGAGAAGTTAGACATATATTTTTGAGGGTAGAGAAATATGCATAGATTGCACAGAACAAAGAGTTAGCCACATGTGCATTCCAACATAAAATATAAGGGAGGATTTAGATGGCGTAAATGAGGCACATATAATTGGGCAAAACCCATTCCAAGATAAAATATAAGGTATGATTCAGATGGCGGAAGAGAAGGACATGCAATTGAAAAATGCGAACGGATTAGACAACACAAAAAGGGGTTGGACGATAACAGAGCATGAGAAATCATATATCTGAAAAAACAGACCTCTAAGTGAGTTTCCACTACAAGGGTGTGCAGAAGGGGATGCTGAACTGTCAGAACGGGTGTGGCATTCTGCTGTTTTGCGCGCGTATGCTAGCCTACGACGCTTATTTCGACGGTCACGTTGCTCAGATGGAGGCACGATGGAACCAAAGCCCACACGAGGAGGTATTGGCATAATAGCTAACATGTAGTGAAACGTAGAAATAAAACAGCTAGAAATCCTAAAACTTACACCATTTTGAGAAAAAAAACAATGAAAACCAGATATTTGAGCACATAAAGGATCACTATGATTAAACCTATGGATCTGATGAATTCAAAATATCACTGACAGAGGGAACAATCAATACAAAAGAATTAATACTACTACAAATAAAAAAATGACGCAAATGTTAAACCCCTTAGCAAGAAAGGGAAAAAACTTACAGCAATCACAAAAAAAGAAGACCCGGCAACAACAAACAGCACGCAAAGACCTGTATGGAAAAAACCGAAACACAATCAGTGTGGGCAAAAGTAACAAAATCAGTAAATAAATAGAAATGGCAGATAACAACCACGCATTCATCACAGATGTATGACATAAAACAATCGTTACAAAGCCCATAAAATGGAGTAAATAGCCAAAAATGAATAACCCCAAGAACAAAACATCAGACCATTTTTCCTAAAATCAATTCGTAATTCATAACATTATACAACAAAATATTTTAACAAAATCAAGTCATTTGTGCATACAACATGAGAGAAATAAACAATTCACATAACAAGTTTGAACACTGTGGATTTAAACCATTTTTTCATAAACAAATAGCAGTGCTTTTAAATTTCAGAATCCTGACCAGCACACATAACGAAATGCTTATATTCACATCAGTAACAAACATAAACCCAATGAAGTATTATCCAGGAGCAACAAAATAATAAAAAATCAGAATGGGGATGACCAAATGTACATATACTGGAAGGAAGATATATAGTATGAAATTACAATTAGAAATAGATGTAAAAGTGAAGCTCAATTACATCCACTATTAACCAGTAAGGTGGTTGAAAAGAGTTGGGAAAATATAGATCTGTACAAGACAACCTAAATATTAATTCCTATAGTTTGATCCACCTAACCTGCTTTAAGCGGAATTTAATATTCTTCAATTCCCTAGAAATAAAAAAACCTATATGTTTGAAAAACTTGTACGCATAAGTGAAAAGTTTAGTGTCAAGCTAAAGTAATAAAATTTTAAAAAAAAATAATGAAATTTTTAAATAATGTTTTAGTAAAAAAAATCGCCCCAACAAAATAAAAAACACACAGATCAAATTCACATAGATTGGAAGAGAGACATATAGCATGAATTTGGAGTTAGAAATAGATGTAAAAGTGAAACTCAATTATATCCATAAGTATATGCTACTTAAATATTATTTCCTATGGTTTGATTGAATAATCTGCTTTAAGGGGAACCCAAGCTTCTTCAATCCACTGGAAACAGTAAAAAACCCTTAAGTTTGAAAAGTTTGTATGAATAAGTAAATACTTTAGTGTCAAGATAAATAAGAGTTATAAATACATGTACAAGTAAAGTTCAATTGCATTCATAATGAACCAGAAAGTTGGATGAAAAAGTAGAGATATGGATCTGCAAAAATCTACTTAAAACTTGAATAATCTGCTCAAAGGGGAATTTAAACTTCTTCAAGCCCCTGGAAATAGTAAAAAGACCATAAGTTTGAAAAGATTGTATGAATAATTAGAAATCTTAGTGTTAATATAAATTAGAGTTAGAAACACATGTAGAAGTGAAGTTCAATTGCATTGAAAAACAACCACAAAACTGGCTAACAAAGTTGGGAAAATAGACTTGTATAATGCTGCTTAAATATTGCTTTCTATTATTTGATTGAATAATATGTTTTAAGGAGAATTTAAGATTTTTCAATCCCCTGAAAATAGTAAAAAGATCATAAGGCTGAAAAGTTTGTATGAATAAGTGAAAAGCTTAGTGTTAAGATAAATTGAAGTTAGGAACACATGTAAAACTAAAGTTCAATTGCATGCATAATTAACCAGAAAGTTGGCTTAAAAAGATGGAAACATAGATTTGCAAAATTCTACTTAAAAGTTGAATAAGCTGCTTTAAGGGGAATTTAAACTTCTTCAAGCCCCTAGAAATAGTAAAAAGACCATAAGTTTGAAAGGACTGTATGAATAAGTAAAAAGCTTAGTGTTAAGATAAATTGGAGTTAGAAACACATGTAGAAGTGAAGTTCAATTGCATTTAAAAACAACCACAAAACTGGCTAAAACACTTGGGAAAATAGACCTGCACATTGCTGCTTAAATATTGCTTTCTATTATTTGATTGAATAGTCTGCTTTAAGGGAAATTTAAGTTTTTCCAAGCCCCTAGAAACACTATAAAGATCATAAATTTGAAAAGACTATATGAACAAGTGAAAAGCTTAGTGTTAAGATAAATTAGAGTTAGAAATACATGTAGAAAGTTGGCTTAAAAAGATGGAAAAATAGATCTGCAAAATTCTACTTAAAAGTTGAATAATCTGCTTTAAGGGGAATTTAAACTTCTTCCAGCCCTTGGAAATAGTAAAAAGACCATAAGTTTGAAAAGACTGTATGAATAAGTAAAAAGCTTAGTGTTAAGATAAATTAGAGTTAGAAACACATGTAGAAGTGAAGTTCAATTGCATTTAAAAACAACCACAAAACTGGTTAAAACACTTGGGAAAGTAGACCTGTACACTGCTGCTTAAATATTGCTTTCTATTATTTGATTGTATAATCTGCTTTAAGGGGAATTTAAGTTTTTCCAAGCCCCTGGAAACACTATAAAGATCATAAATTTGAAAAGACTATATGAATAAGTGAAAAGCTTAGTGTTTTTAAGATAAATTAGAGTTAGAAATACATGTAGAAGTGAAGTTCAATAGTATTCAAAAACAACCACAGAACTGGCTAAAAAAATTGGGAAAATAGACTTGCAAAATGCTGCTTAAATATTGCTTTCTATTATTTGATCGAATAATCTGCTTTAAGGGGAATTTAAGATTCTTCAATCCCCTGGAAAAAGTAAAAAGACCATAAGGTTGAAAAGCTTGTATGAATAAGTGAAAAGCTTAGTGTTAAGATAAATTAGAGACAGGAATACATGTAAAAGTGAAGTTTAAGTGCATGCACAATTAACCAGAAATCTGGCTGAACGTAGACCTGCACAATGCCACCTCAATATTACTTTGTATCATTTGATTGAACAATATGGTTTAAGAGGAAATTAATTTCCTTCAATCCCCTGGAAATAGTAAAAAAACCATAAGTTTGAAAAACTTTATGAAAAAGTGAAAAGTTTAATGTTAAGATAAGGGTTCAAAAACTTAAAAATAAAAAAAATAAATAAATAATACGGAATTTTCAAAACAATGTTTTAGTGAATAGTGGATTAGATTAAACTTTTAGAAGGAGGCTGAACATCTTTGAGCAAGTATAAATGAAGGTCGTGCACACAACAATTAAACCATGTTTACTAAAATCGAATCTTGTTCATAACAACACACAACAACGTATTTTAAAACAACATTGTGTAGCTATGCTATGGCTTAAGAAACACAAAAAAATACTAACATCCCAATTACAAACAAAGAAACAAGCGCATCACACGAAGGACCGGTGGAAAACCAGGGCAGTCCCAAAACGAACAACAAAAAACAAACGAGCAGCGGGACAAAACAATACCGAGAAAGGGAAAAGAAGAAAAGGGGGAAAAACTTACAAAGGGGGAAAGAGCCGAATGAGCAGATGGATGGAAAAAACAAGGCCAGGAAAGATGTAGCAGAACAGAAATAAGGATAGATGCGTGTCAAACAGCAGCTGCGTGGGGAAGAAGGATGAATCGTGTCAGCGGCAAATCCAGCACACGCATGAAACGGGGCGTTTTTTTTGCTGGGATGCTACTCAACCGGCGAGAACTGCTGTAGTAACAATGAAGAAGGCGTTAATACTGTAGTAACGGAATAGAACGAAAGTTAACTCCCTTCCAACTTTTATATATTAGGGAGATACGGTTTTAGATTTATTATAGGCAATAATTGGAATAAAAGCTTTATGGATACCCCAGCCAGTTTTGAGCTTTTATTGGATACCCCAGCCAGTTTTGAAACGTACTAGCTTAGCTTGGAAGACGTTTCATATCACAATCATCCCTTTAATGATTTAGCGTTTTCAGCCTAAATAGGACGTAAAAGTGCCTAAGTAGAGCACTAAATTATCATAGAGCACTTTGATAATTTGTATTATATCTACGCTAAATAGAGCATCTAAATAGAATATCAAGTTTTATACGCCGTTGGGGAATAGTCTAGATAATTTAGTGCTCTACTAAATTTATAGGGATTAACCTATATACTAACTGTTTTAACAGAATAGTGCACGGGTTGTACCTTTATAAAGACCGCCGTAGGGGGGTAGGACCCACCCTTTCACTAAAGCTGGTGTGAAAACGTTAAAAGTAATGAAATTTTCGAAAGTAAACATTATGTGGAAATCAGTTTATGTGGTCTAAAGATAGGCCATAAATTCTTAAAAGTGCTCTATTTAAATGATAGCGTTGCAATATAATAGAGATTGCTTAATGCATTGTAATTGAAAGAAAAATGTTAAATATGATTTTTCAATTTGTCTGTAGCGGTATGTGTGGTCCGATGCGCTTGTATATCTCTGACATGTGATATATTACTTAGTATTTTCAGGTATATTTTCGTTTGGAAGCCTGTGATGATATATCCTAAATAGGTCTTCAGGACAAACCTGTCTATAAAAGTGATTGCCTATATTTCAGGATTGTTGAGAATAAACAGTCCTAATATGGTGAAGATTGTATTTTTATATACACACTTAGTGAGTATGATATAAACAGATATATTGTCACAATCTTTTAAAACGATACCACCGTTAAGATATCTTATTTTTTAATTTAGGCTGTTGCCTAAATTTATCTGGAAGACATGTTTTAAAACGAGTATCTTCACATCTCCAAAAGTATGAAGATAAACCCTTGGTGTAATATTTGTCAAATAATTATGTATAACTAAGAGCACTTAAGTTGTTATATCTTAAGACCACGGTTATTATAATTAAAGATAACCATTTGAACGTACTCTGAGTGTATATGCAAACGGATTGGTAATATCAAGGGTTTTATATTTTATTACAGTAAACTTAATACATATTCTGATCACATATAAGATATGATCAGTTCACAAATGGTATTTGTCAAAATGATGAAACAGTCATCCATTTCTCCATCCCTTGATATTTCGAAACCGGCGCCTGAAGATAAGTTTTATAGCTCGATAAGATCTTTCCAACGAGATAGAAAATTTCGAGATCGCCGATATGAGGGAAAGTGATAGGCACTAGTTATTAGTGCCTAAGTGTACATTTTTATTATCATTT